TTTCCGCTTCTCCATATGTTGTCCCACAGCACTATTTCTCTCAAGGACGAAATCACTTTTTTTTTCTCCCTCAAAGTATGCCCTGCGGTCCAAAAAAACGTATGTAACCAATCAAATCCTGAAATTACTGACGTCCGGCTGACTCTGACCTCAGTCATTCTTAAAGAAGAACGATTCGAAAGACCGGGGTTTGAGGTCATCAAGAACACCGCTAAAATTATTCCAGATCGAAGGGGAAGGGAAGTATTGATGTCTTTGTTTTATCCGCTCTACTAAAAGTGTAAGTATGCATATTTTCACATTTTTAATCGTATTTTTTAATAATGAAAGTTTGCTAAAATTGTTTTGTATTTGTATATGTCTAAAATCTTCCAAATGCTATAATCATATTGATCTCAAACTTATCATAGCTGCCAACTCAAGTTTTCAACTCAGTCCCAGTTTTTCATCACATCTCAAGGTAAATTACCAAATCTCGAGATTTTAAAGTCTCGAAATTTAAATCTTTACTAAAGAAAATTTTTCCCAAAAAAAAAAAAAAAAAAAAAAAAAAAAAAAAAAAACGAAATTTATCAAAATAATGAAATTTTTAATTAGGCGAATTGTATTCGTCCACCTGTAATGATTTTCATAATAATTTTTCTTGTTAAACTTTATTTCACAAAACTGTATTTTTTTTATTAATTTTATTGACCTTAATAAATTTTTCTTATCGGATTTCGTTTAATCTGAGTTGTTTTAATCTGCTGTAGACATCAGTAGATTTTTATGTGAAGATTTAGGCAATGTTTAATTAGTTAATTTTCGTGTTTTTGTGTTTAATTTTGTTTACTTTAGTACCTGGCATATTACTAATTTTATCTAGTGTTATTATGTATGTTAATTATTAATTTCACATGCATCGTATATTTAAAAATACTTTGATAAATAAAAGCTTTGCTTCACTACTACTGAAGATTTCCTCAGTATAAAAAGCAGCATAAAATAAAAAGAAAAGCGAGGAAATAAAAAAAATGAAAAATTAGTAAAGAGCATAAATTTTAGACTATCTAATAAAATGCTAATGCATCTTACATCAAAATTGAATTACAAGTACTATAGTAACCTGAACCATCATGCATCATAAACTGAATCAAAGCGAGTTTGGAATTTCTTTGAAATGGTATAACCTCGCAGAGTGAAAAACCTTTCATTTTTCTAGAGCAAACCCGTCTTTAAAGAAAATCTCCCGTCTTTTAAGATTTTCCAAGGCTGGAAACTATGATCTGCATGCATATACGATTGTGTTTATGGCTTTAGAAATTTAGAAATACAATTTTTATACTATTCAAATGTAGTACTGGGTATTTTATGCACGTACTGTTTTCATTAAATTGTAAAGAAAAATTAAAACACTAAGAGAATTAGATATCTTATATTTACACAAGCAATGAAATAGACATTTTTTATTATTTAGAGTTAAAAACTGAAATTTTGGCTAGTTTTTTTAACTTTTTGATAACTATTTTAGAGCAGTTTAAGTTCTCCAGCTAAAGCGGCAATAAATAAATAAACAAATAAATAAGTAAAAATTTGAACTTTCAATAAATCACTGGAACTGGAACTGCACTGGAGCGATGTAAATGAAATATCTTCATCTCACATTGGTCTAAGACATTACGTACCAAGCGAATTTAGTCGTCGTAAACCTAGAATCTAGAATGCTTTAAGAAATACAGAGTTGGAAGGCAACAAAGTTTCATTTATTTCTTTTATACACTAGGCCTGTTGTTATGAATTCAATTTTACCATCTGCTATGTACAACAACTTTCTTTTACTACATGTGGAAATTTTTATTTTAATAAAGCCTTCAGATATTGCTTTCTCTAATGATGCATTTGCAGAAAATGATGATTTAAGAGCTTTTGTTAAACACAGTATTCGATTACATGGGAAAAATATTTATTTAATAATTTATTTAATAATGTATAATGTTCTATCTTTGATTCATTTAATAAATGATGTTCAAATATTTGGGCCTCTTGACACTTTTTGTTGAAAACATTTGAACTTTTTGGGGGAACTGAAAAATATGCTTTGTGCTCTTTCAAAACCTTTGCAGCAGCTTGCACGCAGATATGCTTAACAAACACGTTTTGACGAAGAAAAGGAATCAATAAGTGAAATTAGCAAAATATATCGTTTCAACTCTCAGAATTTAAGATATCTGCTGACACTGGTGATAATTGTTGTTTATTTATAGACAAATCAGTTCTAATAATCAAATATCTGTTAGAAAATTCATCGGAAAAAGAAATTGTTTTTTTTTACAGATTTAATAAACAAAAAGAATTTTAGTCATCCTTTCAGTTCTCTAAATTTAGGTGTCATTATAATTTCAGAACTATCAATAAATTTAGAATCTACATCAGTGGAATCTGTTAACTGTATATATATGCTAGTGGCATATAGGGATTATTATGTTTGTTATCCATTATGTTTTTAATCAGGTGTACTAACAGAGTTTCCCTCACCTAGAAAATTTTAGACTGCCATGGAAAATACAAAATATATTCAGAAAGTCAGGGAGGAATTTTCCCAGAATGTCAGGAAGGTTGAGTTCGTATAAGACAAGCTTTTTAATGTTGATAATTAACTACATATAAAGTAAGATTAAGATTGCTTCAATTCAGTCTCAGAACATTTACGGATTTATTTCATTACATTCACAGAAAATGGCATTTAGCGTTGTACATTTGCTAATGACCGATGAAGTGGCTGTCGTCCAAGCAAATGAGTGTCAGATGATAAAAAGGGACATGTAACTGGCCTTCGTATAAAGAAAGAAGTCACATGAAAAGAGCAATTCTGGAACACAGAGAACCAGATACATCCTGAGAGAATTTTTATATTGTTATCCTGGGAGAATATTGTAAGTATTCTACAAATGATTTTTACGTCTGTTTTCCCATATTAATTTAATTGGTAGGAAGTTTTTCGAGAGCATAAAATTGAAATAATTTGTTTTCTGAATTGAAACATTGAAATTTTAAAAAAAATGTTTTGATGCGTAGGAAAATGTATTAAGCATACTTTAATTTTTCTAAACAAATATTATTTATCCTTATTCTCTCTAATTAATTGTGCTCATATTATATCAGCTTATGTTTTAATAGTTTCGCTCCGAAATAAATCATATCTACATTCTTAATTACGGTTCATAGTAAGACTCTAATATTCAATATACTTTGCTAGTTTGTGAATTTTAATACAACCTCTTTAAAAACTTACCCATATATAAAATAATGGATGCTCAAAGGAAGACTGAACGAGAGATTTTAGCCTGCGGATCCATATAAATGTCAAATTCAATTCCATTGAGTGAAGTCATGAATCAGGCTCCAGAATGTTAACACTGTGTTTAAATTTAATTAAAAAACGCCTATCTATATATTTTATTTACAAATCTGAATAAAATATATAATTTTCAATAATAAGATTTGAGTTTTCTATAAGAAATGTTAAAGTGATTAACGATTCTAAACAATAAATATGCTGTTGAGTTGAAAGATGAGACTGTATCTAATGAAAAATGTATGCATTTTTGTAGCTAATTATGCTACAGTTGAATTTAAGTCCAAAAACGGCTTTAAAGACATTGAATTTTAGATTCAGGTTCAGACTTTGAAACACCAAAACAGAAGCGAAAGAGGCCATTAACATTCTGATACATGTATATATTAATATACATGTATCAGAATGTTAATTCTTCGGATGATAAATTAAATACAAAAAGAAACAAAACAGAATTACCTCCTACTAAATTAAATTATAGCTAAATAAAAAGAAATCCCTTTTAATTTTTCCTCATGCGGTAGTAAATTAAATTTTACTACACTTTCTTAAGCTTCTTTACTTAGTTATATTAATTACAGTAGTAGAAGATGTTTTTAATCATTTATTTCAGTTTTTTATTTTTTTATAATTAAATCGAAATTATATGTTTAATTCCATTATAATAATTTTGCTTGCTGATTATTTTTTCCTTTATCAAAGTTAAATTTTATTTTGAAATTTTGCATTTTAACAATTTCACATTATGAACGTTTGTCTATTATAAGATTTTTGAATTCTACATTTTTCTTTTTCTTGGTGGCTTGTGCTTTATGTCACTGTACTTTTTCAAGTTCTTTTATAAAAAGTTTGTACTTTAGTAGTACTTTTATAGTACATTTTATATAAAAAGTTTCTAACTTTCAAATTAACAAAATTTGCTCTTTTCAAAAAAGTGTTGACTTTTTCATATTTTTATATATTGGGTAACTAATTTTGAATCACGTCAAAAATTAACTAGCTATTTAGTCATTTACTTTTATTTTTCAAGAATGTTCATTTCAGAGACACTTAGCGCTATGTTTAATTCCTCAGCATTAACTTTGCTTATTAGCTATTTTTTCACGATCTAAATTAATTAATCTTTTTTTGAATTTCATAAGTTTACTAAGTCCATATTTTCAAAATTTGGCCAGCTTTGCCTTCTCTGTGGTTTTTGAATTCCGCATGTGTCTTCTTTTTTTTTTTTTTTTTTTTTTTTTTTTTTTTTTTTTTTTTTTTTCATGTACATTATGTCATTCCTATTTTCCAAGTTATTAATTTTTAAAAACTTTTTAATTTAAAATTAATAAATATGCTTTCACTTATTCTTCAAAATCTTCTAAAGAAGGCGCGTTTAAAAAAATACTTCAAAAGGCGAGTCTAGTCTATTTTGTCATTTATGTATTCGATTTTGAGTCACGTCGGAGCAAGTGATATCGTGATAAATACTGATTTCAGATACTTGCAGTTTTTATCATTATTTTAATTTGCCTCATCGGTTGCTAAATGTATAACACTAGCGAAGACTGGGAGTTCGTCTTGGCTTCTATTCCAGACGAACGGTTTTTGTTGCGTAGTTGGTTTTCGTGGTTTTTCCATGAGTAGCATGAATACGAGCCAGTTTTCCTTAGAAATTCCTCCACGAATTCATTCCCTCCCTTAGGCAGATATCACTTGTACACTTCGTTATATTCGAGTATCCTTAAATAATCATTAAATAATTTTTAAACAGTTTTAAATTTTTTGAAAAATTTTAATTTTGAATTAAGGTTTTGGTCTTTTAATTCAAAGGACTCTTTGATTACTTGTACAATTCATCCAGATATAATTTGATTTCTCTGTTTATAATTCCTATTTTCTTTCGGCTGCTCTTTGACAAAGACCGAAGATATTTTTTAATTCTTTAAATTTCATGCGAACTTTGTTTTATTTATGTATTGATTTAATTTTGCTCCAATTTTGTTTTCCATGTTTTTGATTCATTCTTTTGATTTGTGACTTATTGTTACAGAGTTCATCATTTTAGGTTTATATTAACTCCATTTGTTTGAATTCACATGTCTCTCTGTATGTATATATATATGCAAGGAAGAGGAAAGTTCAAAAGCGATTGCTTAAAAGTACATTTGGAAATTAAAATTTTAAAATCAAAAAATACCCTCACTTCCAATATTTCACTTAACATGATCTTTGAGACTAAATCGCGATTTCAAAATACATAAAAATCATATTCTAACCATATTCTAATCATATTCAAAAAAATTTCAATGATTTTTTTCAAGGATTGTATATTTTTCTTCAAGTGAATTTAACTAAATTCAAATAGTGACATTACAGAGCGTGTTAATTTTGTATTTCAATCTCGAAAATGATTGCTTTAAACGGCGACCATTTCGAGAGCATTTTGACATAACTGACGATATATGAAATTGAAGCGCAATTTGTTGGCGACGTTTGGTGCTAAAAACAATTCTTGACCAATAATCTTCTACAAAATTAATTTTAGTAAGTGTTATAATTTGTTTGCTATTTCACTTTTAAACTTTGAAAAACCGTCAGTCATTTCTAGGATAACCCATATTGATTTTTTACTTTATATTTATTAATTATATACATATGTATAGATTTATATATATCCGTCGATCTGTTTTTTTATATGTGTTAACTTTTCACATATCACATCGATAAGATTAGTTTTTAGTGCATTCACATGTTTTCCAACATTGATTCTAACAGTTTTATTTCGCGTGTAGGCTGTTTTTTCACCTTTCCATGTTAATATTTTTTAAAAATTACTTCCATGTTAATATTTTAAAAAATACTGCGTTGAACTATTTTATGGAGCCACAGCTCCTGGTAACTTTTTAGCAAGCTCACTAGAATATTTCTTCCTATTATTTCATATTTTTGCAGCATTTTGCGCAAAAAAAATTTTTAAGACCAAATAGGTCTTACGTCAAATTACTTGTTAGCTTTTCAATTTCTATTTCAATTATATATATATATATATATATATATTAATATATATGGCATTGCTTATTAAAAGTTTTTTGTGGTTAAAAATTGATCAGATCTATTTTAGTAGAATCTAATGAGTAAGTATTATGTTGCGCTTCTTGTAGTTGTTCTCCATCACAGGTTTAAAATCATAAGCACTCATTAAATGAATCATGAAATAGCTTTAGCACTACTGTTATATTAATAGATGTAATTGTTGCCCCAAAATTTGGCTACTCGGCTTTCCTGAAGTCTATTGCTCTAAAAAAAGAAAAGTCTATAGTAAAATGCTTTATTCAATTTAAAACAAGGGTGCCAAAATTCCTAAATACATATTTGTAGGAATGAATAGAATTACATATTAAACGTTTTTCTCACTTACACATTTCTCCATTTACGTTGACAAATTTTCATGACTAAATACTACTTCACTTTTTGTTAAGATTATTTCACGTTTAATTAGATACCTGCGCAAATTTAATACAAAATAAAGCACATTTAACAACATATAATGACACAATTCTAACTAATCAATGCACTAATCTCTAATATTAAATTGAATTTACATTGTAATTTGATTTTAAATTAATTGTAAATCTCTCATATTAAATTAAATTTTAATTTGAATGAAACACTAGGATAAAAAGTTATTCTGATTACTGAAATGTATTCATATATGCAAAATGTAAATAGCAAATAACATTTCAAATCAAATTTCTCAATTTTATATTTATACTTATTATATGTATAATAAATTTTAAAATATTTAGGGAGTCATTGTAAGATATTTTTGCTTGTGAGTCAAAGTTCTATTTAATTTCCTTAACATTCGTATTAAAATACATATATAGTGTGTACATACATACACACACACATATATATATATATATATAATAATTTATTTCCTAAACAATATTGATTAATTGATTATATTATCTCCTAAGTTTAATTAAAGTAGAATTATTTTAAAAAGAGTATATATATATATATGTAAAACATTTATCTTTACATGCATATGCACATGTAGTTAAATTTTTTATCATAGTTGCACTGTATTCTGTTATATTAATATAAGCATTTCAAGGTGACAGTTTCCATGCTCCTTATTTTCGTTCGTAACATATATGTTGCCATCCCTTCAATGAAATAATTTTTTCTACTCCATGACTGTAACTCATATGAACCTTTAAGTGCGGTGCCGAAATAAAAGGAAAATAGGAAAAACGAATCTCCAGAATCGAAAATCTTTTGCAGCACATGTTACCCTTGTTCACTAGAGAAACTAAATGGGGAAATAGCTACTTGAAAGAAACACAATTCGACATTTTTTGTTTGTAATATTTCATAATTTTATGACCATTTCATTCTTTTCAAATATTTTAACTAGACCAGCATTTCATGATTTAAATAATCATTTTCGTTTCTTTTCTGGCAAGGAAACAAATTTCATTTTTTTATTGTTTATAATGCTATCTGAGAATGCCAAAAAATGAGGTATTTGTATTGCAAACCTCAAAATCTTTAACAAAAATATCTGTTAAAAAATCCTTTTTCTTAATTCCATTACATTTTTAGTTCCCGTTTTCTAAATAACAGTTCAATTTGCAATTATCTAATTTTTGAAAAATTGAAATTTATCTAAAATTTTGATTTTTTTAAAATCAACTCTAACGGCGAAATCTCAAATTGAAGCATTATTCAATAGTACTATTTCAAGATAACATAATTTTACATTAAACCGACCACATAGGAGGATGAAACAGCATCGCTTTTATTAAAGTTTGAGAAAATTTATTATTTCTTGATTATTTAGTTTTAAAAAAATATATTTTTTTTTTATTCTTTTAGGTGCTTTCAAAGAAAATCGGGCCACCAGAGAGGTACCTTGCAATATTATTGAAAATATTATAAAAGACTGGTTGAAAAGTGTTTCATTTAGAGAAAAGTATCATAAACAAAAAGGAAAATGTACAACAGAAGGAAGTTTGTAAACAATGGAATAAAAAATTTGTGTATTAGCTTGTACGAAAATACTGTAATTAAAGTTATTAATTGTTCAGTTTGTTTCCTAACTTTCATGAAGACTTGGATTGGTAGAGGATACTTAGCTTAAGCAAATATTGTATCTTATACATTGTATTACTGAATATGAAAATAATTAGTTCATTGAATTTGAATGTTTGATTCTAGAAGAGAAATTTATTACATGAATATGCAATATGGAAATTAATTTCATTACATTTCCTTTAATACTTTTAATTTTGCTTTAAAATTTTATGAAATAATATAAAACTATCAGTTTATAGATTTTGGGAATTTAATGCATTCCTAGTAGCTGAATTAAATTAAAACCTTTTGCAATAAATGCTTCAAATTTTAAATTATGACAATAATTATATTTTAACTGAAAATTGCTTGTTAAGAACCTTATCCATTGACTGGACCATCCACTGAACTAATTTTATAAATCAAATTTATGGCAAAATAATGAATTTGTGAAAGATATATGTCATTTTATTTGTTTATTAACTTTCAAAATACGCCTTCTAACTTTATAAAAAAATTACATGGACAGAAGTAATTTTAACAGAGAACTGTTTAGTACAGTTAAATTGCTTGTAAACAGAACACAAGAAAAAAATATTTATTATTTTTAAAATTTGCATACATTTAAATGCAAACTTTTAAATTTATTTTAATGACAAGAAATATCCAAGCATTCACTTTAAATTCCCATCATCCTGATGCTTTTAGTCTACTGCAATGACAAAAACTCTAGACAGCAGTAGTCTCATATAAAGTTTAAGTACAGTTATTAAACTGGCATATCAGAGCTTATTAGTGTTGAAAGAAAACAATTTTGTTTTAATTTACTGCAAAAAAGTACCGAGGATTATATTTAATAAGAAATAATTATTTCGTCCAGAATATAATACAGTCTCCCATTAAAATAGTTTGGTGTATATGATCACATGAATAAGGTTTCAGAATTTTGAAAATTGCAATGATTCTGGCCATATATTAAAAATCGTGATTTGCAGTCTGATTCCTTTTCCTTCCAGTGAGAACAATAACTTAATTTCTTGGTTAATTTATTAAACTTAAAATACATTTCTATCATTAGAACTGTAACAAATCTTGTTTTTATATGTAGTTAATAAGAATGGTGTGTAAAACTTCTATGGGAATATAAGGTCTAGATAATATTGCATTGGAGGAATTGCATGTAAATGTAGTAGAGAAAAGTGTAGTGTAAAGTTTCATTAATAAATGGCATGTATGTAATGAACTAAGAGAATAGAAAAAAAATAATAGAATTTGAATTTTGATGCACATATAAAGCATAACATATATTTGTAAATGTAACATTTCAGGCTCAACTCTTCAAACAGATAATGTCTTTTCCAGAAAATTGCAGTGTTCTCTTCCGTTAAAGAAATGTAAATTATTATATGAATTCACTATTTGGAAACTAAGTTTCGCATTAGACGCAAGTATTACAAACACAAATATTTCATGTACTGTTGTCCTTCAGAGACTGTACATATAGACCGGATTCAGAACGTTCTAGTTAGACGTAACTCAAAACGTTCTAGTTAGACGTAACTCAAAACGTTCTAGTTAAACGTGATTCGGAACGTTCTTTGCATGTTATACAGAAGTGTTAACAGTACAAGTATTTGACGTGGTATTGCTCGTCATAAACCTTTAATCTATAGACGACATTCAGAACGTCTGCCCAAACGTTAAGAGAACGTTCTGCTAGCACGTTATAGAAACTTTCAAAGAACGTTCTAGGAACGTTATATAAAATTATTACTAGTACCACATTTTGACGTTCTATTGTCCATTAATGAACTACATCTTACAGACGTAATTCAGAACGTTTTGCCTGAACGTTAAAGAAACGTTCTGCTAGAACGTTAAAGAAACGTTCTGCTAGAACGTTGAAGGAACGTTCTGTTAGAAGGTAACGGAGCTTCCATATAACGTTCAAGGGACGTTTTATAAAATTGTTAGTAACACCATTTTTTGACGTTCTACTACCCGTTATTGAACTGTAACATACTGACGTGATTCACCACGTTCTGCCTGAACGTTAAAGGAACGTTCTGTTAGAACGTTAGAAGAACATTCATAGAACGTTATAAAAAAGTGATAGTAGTACCACTTTTGACGTACTACTGTCCGTTATTGAACTGCAATACATAGACGTGGTTCAGAACGTTCAGGTAAAACGTGCCAAAAACGTTGTACTAGAACGTTAATGACACGTTGCATGAAAGTGTTACAAACACAAGTATTTGACGTGTTATTGCCCGTCTTAGAACTGTAACATGTAGACGGCATTTTGAACGTTCTGCTTGAACGTTCCCGACACGTTTGTGAAGCACTTGCTCTGAACGTTCTTGTGCTAGTGGAATGTAGATTGCTGAAAATAGATTCTAGCGATTTCGTGAGTGAAACTTGGAACACGTGATATAACCCTCGAATAGGATTTGAACCGGAGTAAATTCTTAATTAATGTCTTTTTAAAATTTATTGTCTTATTGGCTTTTAACAAATTTAAACGATATGAAATTTATGCCTTCAAAATACAAATTCTTAGAACTAACATTTGTTAGCGTTTTTATGTGTATACTGTATGTTGTCGCCAATAAAGTCTGCTTGGCGAGATTTGCGCCGGCGAAACGGAAAAGTACCAATTTTTCTTAAAAGTTAACTAAATTTAAGCAACACAGAACGATATCGGGAAGGTAAAAACTTTCAAAAGCTTTTGAAATATTTTCATACTTTTAATGCATAAGAAAGTGATAATTTAATGAAAATACTGATGAAAGAATAGATTGCTCCAGAAAGAAAATGTTTGAAACAAAACTCTTTAACATATTAGAAGATATGTTATAAGGCATTTTCTCCCTCCTTTCTGCATGTCTTCGTGGTGTAATAAGAAGCATACTCGACGCGTATTCGAAGGGTTCAGGGTTCGAGTCCCGACGAAGGCACTGCACATTTATCATGTCTAAGTGGCGCCAGAACTAAAATGTCGTGGGCAATAATTCGTCGCCACCAGGATTTGGCGATTGGGTCCCCTTATCTCCAGCCACCCTTTAAAAGAAGAGGATGTATATAAGGTAGAGTGGAACCACGTGATACGAGTTTAATTCGTTCCAGCATTGAGCTCGCATAGCGAATTTCTCTTATCTAGAAACAAACTTCCTCGTTGAAAATAATGGAAATCCAGTTAATCCCTTCCGACCCCCCCCAAAAAAAATATCAAAAATTAATTTTTCTAATAAATAACACTGGTAAGTAATATAACCGTAGTTTACCTTTATGATAGCTTCAAACACCGACCTTTCAACCATTTCCCGTTATGTACACCAGGAATAGCTTCTCGACATCTTGTAGGAGTTGTAGGGACGTTGCATGGAAGTAACGGTAACTCCTTTGGCTACAGCCATTGGATACTGGCCATGTATGGCTAATAGAAGGGAGGATGTCCTCTTGACTCGACTGAGAATAGGCCATTGTCGCCTGACCCATGACTATCTTCTGAAGGGAGAAGAGAATCCCAGCTGCCCAAACTGCAATGCAGATCTGACAGTCCATCACATCTTGGTGGAATGCCAGAGTTTTAATTATTTTCGCCCAAAACATTTTAATTGTTCAGAATTGGACTTAGGAAATTTAATTGGAAAAAACACATGATCGTAATTTGTTTCTATTTTTAAAAGATATTGGCTTTTATAATAGACTTTAACCTGTTTTTTAAAAGATATCAGCTTTTATCATAGACTGTAATCTGTCTCTTTTTACCTAAGCTAGAAGTTTTTACAAATGACTAATTGCATTGTTACCGTTTGTCTGGCGCAAATAACCTTGACAGGTTTTGTGCCAAATTACAATAATCCAATCCAATCCTTTGGTTACATCAAGTTTCTTAATTTCTTCCTGTTTTTTCAGAATAGTGCAGATCGTCGATGTCGGAACGGCCGTAAATCTTTGCCAATTCCTTCACTCTTGCAACACGCTTATGTTTATCTATGATTTCTTTCTTAATTTCAACGGCCATGGCTTCCTTCTTTTTCTTTGCAGCTCTATCTGAGACAACAATCTTCTTGTGAGGCATCGTGAAATAATTATTTTCGCGTTAACTGTAATAAACAATTGATTTACAAGCGCACAAACACCTAAATCAAATAATACCGAGTGATCTGACGAAGGGATTTCCCGGGTCGAATCGGATCAGGAAATGGTGCCACGCATACCAACAGCCTGGCTCGTTACTCGAGTCAATGCTCGTACTTGGAGACAAATGTTTCGGTCGTACTTTTCTCGTACCTCGAATTTCTCGTATATAGAGGTGCTCGTATTTCCAAGTTCCACTGTATTTTCTCTCTCCTTTTCGCATGACTTCGTAGTGTAACTGGAAGGACTTTTCGATGAGTAGTCGAGAGATCCAGGGTTCGAATAACGATGAGGGCATTGCACATTTTTCACCTTTCCTGCTCATAAAAAAAAAAAAAAAAAAAAAAAAAAAAAAAGAAAGAAAGAAAAGAAAGGTTTGTTTCAGATTTTAAATTACTTTCAAAGGGGCGTTTTTTAACGTTTTGTGTGTTACCTTTATTTATTAAATATCATGTTCTTTGCACTTAAACCATAAAATTCAGTTCAGTAGCAATGTCACAAAATAATTTTAAAATGAGCTTATCTTTAGAATTGCCGATACACAGCTCAGCGCGCTGGAGATAAAAAGGTCTTTTTTCCCCCGTAGAGTGTTGCCACTGCTCGCTTTCAAATCATTGAGTTTGTTACTCAAAATTCGCTAAAATTTTAGAAAATATGAAATCTATCATAAAACCAATTCCAAATTTCAAATTCGGTCTTCCACATGGCCATATTCGTAGGAGGATGACGTCATTCAAAATTCGATAGCTCTGCGTACCGTTGTTTTATCACAATGCGAGAAATATAAATACATTTATGCATATTTTTCATTATTTAATTTCTTCGAAAATAATGCAGGACTCTAACATTCGGTGGCAACAGTTTGAAAAGTAAAACGGACATTTATAGCGATTCAACGCAGAATCGCAAAACGGAAACAATAGTTGTTCAGGGACAAAAAGCCCCTTTGGACTAAAAAAAAACCATCATCCACCAACCTAAAAGTTGGTGGATGATTTGTAATCACCAGGATTTGACGATACCATCACTTAATTCCCAGTCGCGTTTTAAAAAGGGGAGTTTATATTTTCTCTCTCCTTTCCGTATACCTTCGTGATATAACTAGAAGCACACCCGACGCGTATTCAGGAGTCCGAAGTTGAATCCCGCGAGGATACTGCACATCTTTCACGTCTTCAGCATCAAGAAACCTAATGACTCTACACCACCTTTAATGGCCAATTATATATCATTATTATATTTTACCATATTTTGATGTCTAACATGTTATTACAGTAAATGAAACTGCTGTTCTTTTTCATCGCAGGAGCAGTATACATTCATATACGAGGCTTTAGTAGAAGCCATACAGTACGAAGACACCTCCGTACCTCTGGAAAAGATTGGAATGTACCTGAAAGAACTGAACCACATGAGTACGTTAGATCAAAGAGCATTGATTCTGAAGCAATACAATGTGAGTACTAGTTTCGGTATGAGTTTAAGTAGAGTTTTTTTAAAAATTTATCATTTATGTAAAAATGAAACATTAATTTCAGTAAGAATTTAAGTAGAGTTTCTTCTTGCAAAAATTTCTGAAATTTATCCCGTTTTGCAAAAATGAAGCATTTTGCTAGCAATCTTTCATAGGAGGCTTATTTTTATCTCTAATTTAATAACTAGTTTTATTTTCATCCACTAAATATCTCTTCTCTTATAATCTTCGATAATTGTTTTGACCAATCTAATTTGAAGCAGTAGATATAAAAACCAATGACAAAAATTTTAAGCCATAAGTATTGGATATGGACTAAAGTATTACAAAATCAAATACTGCCAACCTGCAGACAAGAATATAGACAATTTATTTAATGTATCTATTTCCTTTACACCACACTAACTTTAGCGTACTTACATGAAAGCAATTATTACATTTGTTTAACTACTATAACCAGACTTCTCAATAATGATGTGTCATGTGATCTACCGCCTTTAGATAGTTATTTATTTTTTAAACTGTTGTTATTATTTTTCGCCTTCCAGGCGGTTTAGTGCTTAGAGAAGCCTACAGCGGTACCAAAGTCACCGGGTTCGTATCCCGGAGAAGGAAGGTTTGTAACTGTCCGTCCCTTCATAGGAGGCAACGGTAGTCGCCTATTAGGCGCCGCCACAGTAAAATAGCCACCACTTCTGGCCTTAGAAGTAGCCAATGCTGAAAATGCAAATGCCAGCCATTGGATTAGAAAGATTTAAACTGTTCCATTTCCTTTCCTGCCATTTTATTTCACGTTCGAATCTGAAAACTAATTGAATCTTTACTTTCTTGTACGAAGTAAAAAGGAAGTATTGTTATCGCGAAAAATTTAGGGTATCATATTTCAATGAAAACATCGATTCTGACCGCTATCCAATGCAATTTAATGATGTTTTTGCGTGACATCCGCAAGTAAGGACAGAATAAAAGGACTCCTTTCCCCCTCAAAAAATCATAAGATTGATTTAAAATGAATTCTGAAGAGAATTTTTCGTGGCGTCTGAGCGTACGTATATACCTACGTGCGTATCTCGCATAACTCAAAAACGAGTAGCCTCAGAGTTTTCAAATTTTGTATGTAACACTGCTATAAAATGTAGATATGTACTTCGTATTTGGTTGCAAAATGCATATATATATATATATATACATATATAAATATATGTTAAATTTTAACAAACATGTATAAATATATGTATTGTTTCAAAAGAATAAATTGAGTTTAATTAATTTAAATGTTAATACTTAAATGTTAATTTCTAAGGGTACCACTTTATTGGAATTACTTTTGGTTTTGACTTTTACCCTTGCCTGCATGAATGACGAAAACACGAATTGAATGATTGGAGAGTTAGGTTTGGAGGCAACTTCCCCTTGATAAGTCTGTCTCCTGCCTACTCTACGATCATTCACATATGCATTTTTTTAAAAAAAATTGTTTAATTTAATTTTAATTTATTAAATTAGTAGATTTATTTTCATGGATAGATTTTACACTTGATTTGCTTATGCTTCTGAATTTAAATGATATTGTAGATTAGTTCTAGAATTAAATCTTTACATGTTTGCATATTTTTAAATTATTTTAAATTATTTTGGCTTTTTTTTTTCCTTTTTTTAGAATTTAAATTTGCTTTTCTACTTTCTACTTTTTTACTTTTATACGTATTTGTTTAGAATTTAAATTTGTTTAAATATAAATATATGTATATATATATCCACTTTGTTACTCGGCTCACTGAGCTCAGTTCTCTTTATTTTTATATGTTTGTAAGTTGTGCATTTTCTGCTTTAAAAATGACTGAAATTATGTTGTTTCTTATCTTCCGGTTAAGGGTTTCTATGCGTTTAGTAAATCTGCATGCAATATTTGTGGAGTTATCAACAATTTAAAATTTGTTCAAGTGCAGCTAAGCCTAATGAATTTTGCGATTGGCGGACATGTTTGTTTGCATTTCAAACTTGGCAAAATAGCGGGTTTGTTGTCAATCTAGAGAAACTAAGTTTCGCAACAACAAACATGATGCCTTCTTTTATTATTGCGAATTAAATCATGCTTATTGCATTCTGGAATTTATTCGATGAAATAAGTGTTTCAGATATACTTCGTAATTTTTAATAGAGGTATTTTGAGTTTTTATGTATTTTTGCCTTGTCGGGAAGTGAGAACTGAATTAATCGAATGAGAAATACTGAATTGTCTGTGAAAAACTGTTTATTTTTGTTTTGCTTGCTTCATTTCTTTTATACATCGTTTTAGATTTATTGTAGTATTCGGATAGAACATGTGGCAACAATTAGACAATACTTCAAATGATATAAATTTATATGCATTCTGAGTTATACTATGGACGAAATGTAAACGCTTTTAAGTGAAGCCAGAGTGTCGCTATGGTAAACAAATAGAGTGAATTTTAAAGAGTGCATTTATTCTATTGTGGTTCATGTGCTATCGACGAGGTATATTTAATTCAATCCAATAAGTTTAAATGAAATGCAAGAAAAAATCCGTATAATTTATATTCCGTGCAAGGAAGTCATGTGCTGTACACATCAGATTTTTAATTTTGTAAAGCTATTATGATTGACGTAATAAACTTTGGGAATTTAAAGTCATTATGATTTAAGCACTACTTCTTATAAGAAGCAATTAGGATACGATAACTGAATTGTGAAACACCAAAGGAGCTTGGTCAATCCTACAGACGGAAGTAATGTAACTGATTCGTGCTGATGAAATATCGAAAGAATCTGTGTATCTCCTCGCAAATATTTCCGCATTTTTTCCTAAGCGCATGGTAATCCGTCAGTAAAAATAATTATTTGGCGGCCATGTCGAGCCATATTCGTAGCGTGGCTGAAGAACTCGTAAAAACAAGCGGTTTCTAAGGACCAGTTTTGCTTCTGTTTTGTAAAATTGGAAGACATTTAAATTTGAATTAAAAATTTAATGCATTATCTAATTAATTATTGGAATGATTTTATCTATGAATTCTTAATTATTTGGGTTTTTTTTTATTTAAAAATAGCCTTTTAGTGAAGCCACCTAAAAAATAAATAAATAAAAGCAGTAGATTGCATATCACATCGTTACCGATTTCTGTTTATATTAACTATTCAAAATTTCTAATGATTTCTCTGCTCAGTTGTCTCTTTATTACCTGCAAACAAACTAAACATAATTTTTTAAACAGAAACTAAATAGAGGACAAAAGAAAGTGGATGCAAATAGATGTTCGGTTGCTCTCTCGGAAGTCAACATTTTCAAGAACAGAGATCCTCTAACCGTACCTGGTAAGGCATTAATTTATTATTATTATTTAACATGCACGGGTAAAGCAAAAGCAATAATTTTGTTGCCTAATCAAACGTTTTCTTTCATTTAGTAGCTACAAAATGATTGTAAAAACCTGATTCATCATCCGCTGACCCCACCAGCGGTCGAGGGGTAAAATCGCTGAACACTGGTAGTTCGGTCCGAGGTTCGAATCCCGCGAACGGGCTGGCTGCATGGGTATTTTTGTGGTTTTCCCCCATATATAACGTGTATACGAGCCAGTTTCCCTTAGAAAGTCCTCCACGAAGGCATCCCTCTCCTTAGGCAGATAGCCCTAGTGTGCTTTGCCGTATTCTAAATAAACCAAACCAATCATCATCCGCTGATAATTAGTACTTGCATTGACGGTAATTTATTATATATTAATCTGTTTGATAAATAAACCTAGCAATTTTTATCGTATTATATATGCCAGTAGTATTTTTAAGCATTTAATAGTTATAAGACAGATGTAAAAACGTATATCGATATAATCCGGCGTATAACGCCACCTATGATATCAAATTGCATATTTTAATTTTTAGGTATATTTAAGAAGAAACCTGACAGGTACCTGTGCGATGCTGTCATCTTTTGACGTCATTCATTTGACGATTTTTCGCAGAATTTCGAAAAATGGTATACTGGATTGACAAGTGATAAAGGGAAAAATACGTGCGTGGAGGAAATGCTTGAGGGAGTAAATAATTTTGCAAAGAGGGTGAGTTGTATTCGGTGTAGGTGTGCACAAGACTATTATTCTAGGGTTCCGAGAAAAGAGGGACATAACTTGCGGTAAGAATGCACTTCCGACGAGAATGAATTCGCGAAATGTCTGATATTTTTTCCCGAATGAATGAAAGCGCAATAATGAATATGCTGTATTTAAAGAAATTTATCTGTTGATGAAATTTTTTAAGATCATAAGATAAGTCATTTCTTTTAAATAAAAAGCATTTAGGTATTAGTATAAATCTGATTTCTGTATGCTCTTCTTTTCCAAGTTTTTAAAAGTACCATTTTCATATCCGGTGTGTAAGACGCACCCATAAATTTCGATCTTACTTTTTTTGTATTAGAAGTGCACGTTTACGCTGTAGTATACGGTAATCTCTTCGTATTGGATAACTGGATTAACAGATGGCTTTCATTTTAATTATAGAGGATGCAGCATGTGTGAAAGTTTACGTGGATGACAGAAATGAAGATCACATCGGCTATATAAATGCAGTGTTTGTTGACGTAAGTGCTTATAATCAGCATATCATCATCATGTGTATTTAACTAACGGCATTTGCTGTTATTTAAAATTAGTAGATGCATAATTTCTTAAATGTTGTTTTTAACGTACGAGTACATACATTAGGTCAAGGTTTCTTTAACTTTTTTCAGTCGCGACACCCAGGACCCCATAATATTTACAAAAATTTTATGGGACTCCGTAAGTACTGCGCAAATCCGACACACGCGTGAATGAACTGTCAATTTTTTCACTTGTACTGTAATATACTATTGCAGTTTTAGGTCCTTAATTTTAATAATTTAAGACATAGAACAATGTGAAAATTTTAAATAAGTAACAGACGAGATGGCAGCGTCACGTGAAAAGCAAGTCAAATGAACGTGTATATTATGAATGAATGCGTCGAAACATTTTCGTTTTCTTTCTTTGTCTGTATTGTCTTATCTTTATCTGCTTTCAGATACATTGTGTAAAAATAGTATTTGGTAGTTGTAAAATTATTATAAGTTAAAGAAATGAAAACTACTAAAATGTTTGGCGACTCCCAGTTTAAGAAACCCTGCATTAGATGATTAATATACTTATTAGCATCCTAAGTCAGAGTTTTTAAAGCATTTACACTCATGTCCATAAATTAAGGATAATGCAAAATCAGGCAAATGAAGAGTTAGAAGCAAAACAAATTTGACTTATTTGTAAAGCTTATTTATTAAACAAAAGGTAAAGAGCAAAAAAGATGCTATATGTTTGATATTATTAAAAAAATTAGCGATTTTTTCTCCCTGGAACAAATTACAAAAAAACCTATTTACAAAAAACCAATATTACATGGTTGGTATGATTGTTAATACATTGTATGTCTCCCAGACGATTCAATACAGTCCGTACAACGCCTAGGCATGCTGAGTATGAAATTTATTGATCTGATCTTGGGTGATGCTACACCACTCAAAAAGCAATGCTCTCCGAAGTTCCGATAGACATGTAGGAGGAGGTTGACGTGCTGCAAATCGTTGGCGAAGAATATCCCACGCGTGCTCTACTGGATTCAAGTCTGTTGAGAATGCTGGCCAGTCCATATGGGTGATATCCTTCGATTGAAGGCATTCGCTGTTTGCACCTGAGGACGGACGTTGTCATCCATAAACACAAATTGTGCGCCCATGGCGCTCCGAAACAAACGTACATGTTGTTCCAGAATGACGTCCCGATAGATTTGGCTTGTCATGGTTCCAATTTGAACATGCAGGTCAGTTCTGGAACCCAGAATAATTCCACCCCAAACGAGCACTCCTGCACCACCGTAACGGTGTCGTTCAATGATGTTTTCTTGGTTGTAACGGGTACCTGGAACTCTCCATATGAAAGTCCGGCGAGAATCAGACTGCAAGCTAAACCTGGACTCGTTGGAAAACATCACACAAGCCCACTGTTGCGGTGTCCACAATGCATGCTCTCTACTCCAGGCTAACCGCAGGCGACAGTGAGTTGCAGTAAGTGGAACGCATCTGACAGGTCTACGAGCATATAGACCAATCTGCCCTAAGCGTCTGTACACGGTCTGCCTTGAAATTGTCGTACCAGTGGCTGAAGAGAGCTGACGAGACCGGTCTGAGGCTGTGCTCCGCCTGTTTCTTTTGGCAGTAACTGCCAAATACCGGTCCTCATTCGGCGTTGTACCTCTGCGGCGACCTATGCTGTAAAGTCTACTCACATTACCATCATCTTGGAATCGTTGCCAAAGCCTGGAGATGACACTCTGGGCAGTTCCAAGTTCGTCTGATACTTCCAATTGGGTACGCCCACATTCCAGACGGCCGATAATTCTACCACGTAAAAAAATCATACAAATGCGTCCTTTGTGTCATATCCGAAGCATTTCAGTGCAATATCCGAATAACTATTCGGATATTGCACTGATATGCTTATAAAGCGCCTGCGAACAATTGTACTTCTTTGCCTGTATTCCTTATATATCACTCTCTTACACTCTTGTCATTGTGACGTTCCATCGGTGTCATCTGGTTACTTCCTGAAATTTGCATATGATTCTTGAAGATGTGTGTAGTGATTTTACAGGTGATATATTTATTTTAGAGTTCGATTTCCGCGTGACTCCGAATTATCCTTAATTTATGGACATGAATGCATTTTCGGCCCATATATTTTTTATTAATTTGGAAACTGTTTATAATTTATTATCTCATAAAATAATTTTACCGTATTACATAATTTAAATAAAACATCATATTAAAATGAAATATATATGTAACGTAAGATTTAAACCATTTTGACTAGAAAAATATTTGTAATAAAATGCTTAATATATATATATATATATATATAAATGATACATTATTTTGTTTGGTTATTTTTTTAATAATTTTTAAAAATTGTTCAGCTAATGTTTACTATTTGAGAATAGATTTTTTCAAAATTTTACTGAGAATTTTGTAATTTTTTTTAGATTTATTTTAATTAAATAAGTCAACCAATTCCAGGAATAATAGAATTCACAGCGTAATATTTAATACTCTTATCTCATTTTCAGGGATACAGAAAAAAGGGAGCTTACATAGTCACGCAGATGCCTATGACTCATACGACAGAAGATTTCTGGAGGATGATTTACCAATACAGATCTTCGTTCATTGTTATGTTGAACGGCTCCGATGAAACAGACGATCTGGTGAGAAAAGTAACAACACGTTTGCATTCACCTACATTGTCCCACACTATAGCCCACATATTCTTAAAAATTTCATCTTCTTAGGTCTCTTATTTTACTACAGGGTGTCTGAAAAGTCACTACTTATTTTGAAGAGCATCTTAGTCTATGCTCTAGTTTAAAAATAACAAAGTTTCGCCATAGACTTTTTTGGAAGCCAGAGAGATGAAAAATTAGCAACCGCCTTCACCGGGAATCGAACTACGGACCTCTGGAATACCGGCTCAGCGTGCAGAACCACTACATCACGAAGGACACTAGGAAAGTGGGAGAAGTACCTTATACCATTACTACCATTCCAAGAAATACTCTTACAATTTAGTATAACTACCAACACACTCAATACACTTCTGTAGACACGTGGAAACCTAATTCACGGTTCTTCTTAAGAAATCAAGACGTACTCAGTTCATAACAACACGAATTATTTTCTCAGGTTCATCTAGATCTCTTGAGACGAGTCTTGCCCTGTTCTTTGTGCTAGCCTACAGGAAAAGTCCCAAGGGGTGAAATCAGGGCTCTTATTTTCGTTGATCCCCAACCACTGATTTGTCTTCCTGGGAAACTTTTGCTCAGGCATTTCCAAGCAACAAGAAAAAGTGGGTGGAAATGTACCTTTTTTTGCGTAAATGTCTGCTGCACGCTGTTATCCCATTGACTACTGATCGACAACGCAAAGTTCCTAACCATATTCAAGTACCATTCACTGCTCTGTCCGTTCACGAATAAAAACTCACCACTTGGGCGATGTCATTCCAAACAACTCTGCTACTTTAGAATAGGACTGTATTTTTTTCGACAGTAGCACCTGGATCCGCATGACTCCAATAGTGGCAGTTATGGCTATTAACAGAACCACCAACGTCGAAAATTGCTTCATCACTCCGTAAAATGTTTTCAAACAAATCAGGGTTATCTTCACTGCATTCTAACATGATTTCTACGAATTCCATATGGCGGTCACAGTCCTCAGGGAAGAGTCGGGGAACGTAATGGGGCTTTTGAAGATAGAATTTCAAATCCTCTTTGAGACAGAGCGGATGGTATGTCTGTTAACCCAGTTTCTTTGGATGTCTGACAGATGAATTTTGAAGGGCTTCTTTCAATCAGGGGAAAATTCTCGCCAACAGGTTCTGTCGCCAAATCTCTTGGCGATTTTTCCCTCTTCTTTCTAGCGGCGTCAAAAAGTAATAATACGTTTGCATTCACCTACATTGTCCCACACTGTGGCACACATATTCTTGAAAATTTCATCTTCTTAGGTCTCTTATTTTACTACAGGGTGTCTGAAAAGTCCCTACTTATTTTAAAGAGCATCTTAGTCGGTGCTAGTTTAAAAATAACAAAGTTTTGCCATAGATACCTCACTTCCGTTGTAGAGACATTAGAATATTTTGGAAGCCAGAGAGATGAAACAAAATGGTTTATCATGGACATGGATGGTTTCAAAGACAAACTGGTTTACATTACGTCTCTGGAGCCTTTCCTTCTTTACATAGACGTTCTTTGGTCATGGACCTGAAAAGAAATAGACCAACTGAAATGGGTTTTCTCCCTCGTCTGAGGCGTTGCCGGCTGTCACCTTGACCACATCCGGAGGAGTAGGGACGACTTGCAGAGATTTAACGGTGGTTGCCTATTGCAGCGTGTCTGTCAAGAAAAAGCTGGTTGTAGCGCCTCATTTCACAAATTAGAATTTCTCCATATTTTTTATTTTTGAAACTGAGATTGATTTTTTTTTATTTAGCATATTTATCAAGCATAATTAACGTTCCAAATAATTATAAAGCTATTGCATGCTTTCAGGGCTGGATATTTTTTAGCTTTTCCTATGCTGTAAGGAAATTTGTAACTACTACTTCTTTTAGAAAATAATTTTTTAATCTGAACTAATAGAAAATTTCAAAAAAAAGCAAGTTTCTCTTGCAATTTGTATGCTTTTTATTGGTGTGAATAAGTAAAAGATACTAAAATATTTAAAAACGAATTTTCGAAAGTTTTTTTATGTAAAACATTCTAAATTGTGCTAATTTTTTTTAAAATTGTAGATGAGTATTATAGCACAATTTCTATAAAGTAATTTTATTTCAATTATATTTCATAATACATCATAGTGATAAACACTTTTGACCCCTTAATTTTTATACATTTAATTCTAATATTAAAATTATATTTAACCGTAATAATTAATTTTGCTTGTATTTTACAGTGATTATTTTTTAAATTTATTTTTAGTTCTGCATAAGATTTTTTTTTTGTACTGTTAATTTAATTTATTAGCTCGAAACGGAATTTTGCGCTATTTCACTATATAAATGTCCGTGTCTCCTTGCAAATTGTTGTTACCAAATATTATCGCCCTGTATTATATTTAAAGAAATTAAATAATGAAGAATCTACATGAATACATGTATGTTTCTCGCACTGTGATAAAAACGACGGTATCTAGAGCCATCAAATTTTGAATAATGTAATCCTCCACACGAACATGAGCATCTGGACGGACGAATTTCAAATTTTTTTTAATCTATTTCATAGTTTTGTAAAACTTTAACGAATTTTTCTTTAACAAACTCAACGAGTTCAAAGCGAGCAATGGTAACACTGTACTGAAAATAACATTTTTATCTCCAGTGCAGAAATTCTAAAGATATGCCGTTTTCAAATGTATGTGGTTTACGGGCGAAGAACATGATATTCAATAAATATAGGTAACTCACAAGACGTTAAAAAAAAAAGTTCCTTTTGGGCGTATATAAAATCTGAATGCGTAATATAAAATCTGAATGCGTATAAATTAAAATCTTGAAAATTTTATGCTCCGAATCTTATAAATTAATGATAAATGAATAATTAAAATGAATAATCCAATTTAATGTTAATAAGTTAATGATGATATAATCAAATAAATGATCGTTTTGTAATGTTATTATAGTTTTGAAAATATCATTAAATTTGTTAAAAAATATCAAATTTTGTTTAATTTTACCTTAGTAATTTCAAAGCATCACGTTCTATCAATCTTATTTTTAATTTTACTTTATTTTTACGCAAAATGAAGTTCATAAATTTTATGCTTAGAGTTTTTACCCTTTTACCAAAGTAAAGGTGTTTGTACAAGAATTACGCGTGAAAAAAATGCGCGAAATGCAGTAAAAAGTGCTTTAATGAGATATATTAATTCCTATATGAAAAAAACTGTGACTTTCATAATTTCATCATTATACAACGTATCGCATTTAATAATTAAAAACATTTATGTGATACAAACGCCATAGGTTTCAATGTTAAAGTAAACCAGATCGTCCCTACTCTTTCTTGCGGACATGTCGGTGACGCGCGCCCCGCCCATTGGGTTAGTCTATCTCTTATAAGGTCCATGTCTTTGGTAGGATTACCTCATTCAAAATTGGATGGCTCTATGTACCGTTGTTTTATCAGAATGCAAGAAATATGCATATATTTATGCAGATTTTTCATTATTTAATTTCTTCAAATATAATACAGGGCGATCATATTTGGTGGCAACAGTTTGAAAAGTGAAACGGACATTCAGAGTGATTCGATGCAAAATCTCAAAACGAAAACAATAGTCCCTCAGGGACAAAGCCCCCTTGGACTATGCAAAGTTAGCTTCTAACTTCCCTGTTGACTTGGTGGTAAGAATGTCGGCAGCATTCGAATCCCAGAAAAGGCATGGGTGTTTGGAAATATATAGTGTCTATATGGTTCGGAGAAACTTAAAATTAAAACCGAAAAGCTTCTTGAGATGTTTGGTGGTGGAAGAAGAGGGGTCTGAGATTATTGAATCTGTTCCCCGGGATATTCTCTGTCAAAATTCGGACGAAGCGTTTTCATCATCGCGACAATTTTTCAATCGTCATTTGTGGTGTACGTTGGACAACGTCGTTGGAGAACCGAAAGACTTCGGCCGTTCCAGCTGAATGCAAGTAGTCAGCCATTTAAAGCAACAAAATTTTAAATATCACACTATTCTTACATTAAATCTTTCCTATGACTTCCTTTCCTTCTGTTAACTATCACCATTGAAAAGTAACAGGAACACTATGATGTGTTGTCGGTGTCAAAGATATGGTCACGGGCAATTGTTCTGCAACAATCTCCCTAGATGTCTGAAATGCGGTGAAAGTCATCTGACCTACACGTGTAAACTGCAGAAAGAAGCAAAACAAACCTACAGGTGTCAACTGTAAACTGGAACATGTAGCGTCGGCAAAAATTTGTGAATTTCGAGCAAAAAAATCGAAAACTTGAACCTCCAAAGAAGCGATCTCAATCGACCCATCAGCGAGTCCTTGATGCTGTTTCAAGCAAGCCCTCGTCGAATGAGAAGCGAGAACCTAGAAGAAAACCTCCAAGTGAGAAATCCTACTCCGATGCTGTTTTGCAAGGCTCAAAGGATTTCGAGTTGGACGGAAACCTCAAGAAACTGATCTGAAAACATATGGAGTTTGCTGAAAAGTGTCAAAAGCTGCAGTCACCTCAAAAGTTTTGCTTGCTCTGGGGATTGTTGAAGAGGTGTTCAAAGCGGACTTATAATTTAGTTCGCTTATTGCATGATGACTAATTTTCTCCTTTTAGTTCTAGTGGGCACTATTGGCGCCAGCACACGGACTTGTCTCGTGGTTTTCGCATGGACTTCAGCTGTCATGATGGCATTCTTCTCGTGCGTGTGATGTCTGGGTACTCTTCTGCAACTCATGATTCTTTCCTCTGGAACTACTGTCCGGCATTTTCTAACGTCATGTGCCTTTTTGGCCGTGTTTATATCATCGAACCGGAGACGTTGCGCTTTGCGCGATATTCCGGCAATACTTGTGCGAATGTGAATGTGGATGAAGCTATCACCAGAATGGAAATTGGGTTATTTAAGTACGAGAGAATTTAGAAAAAGAACTGAAGCAATCTGCCAGAAAGCTGCTTATACCTGTTGATGTCCACCTCTATACAGTCTAAACCCTAGGGAGAAATTACATTCGTTACCGCCCATGATATTTGATTCAATAATAAAATTTCTGTGATCCTGCAAATAGCGATGGCTACTTTTTACGGAATTTTAGCTATACTGATGTAACTTTTAATAATTCTTTGAATAAATTTTCGAAGTTTTAGAATACCAGTTAAGTACGAAGTTGAGAAATCAAGAAAGATAAAACAAATGATAGTTAAATAACTATTCAGGTTTAATCTTACACTTATAGTAACTAACTGCAAATCTTAATGCTTAAAATTTTGTACATTTTTATGAATTTAATAAATATGAAAATATTCGCAAATAACTAAAAATTTATGCTAATCTCTTTTTTTTTTTTTTTTCCCAGAATGTAGGAATATATTGGCCAGAACTTGGGGGATGCAGTTATGGAGAATTTGAAGTTGACGTAATCACATACGAAGAGCACGAAGATTTTATTATACGCATCATGAGACTCACGAATTCTTTACAGGTATCTTTATACTATAAAACCTTTTAATGAATTTCTGTTTAATGTAATACTTTCAGTACTACACTGATTAAATTCTTATCAAGTGCACAGTAGTAATAGAGACTGATATATTTTTCTATATATAAACAGTTTTTTTTTAAATATTTTTTATACATGAACAACTCTTTAATAAAGCCAAATACTTAAAGATTTAACTTTTTTCTCAACAAACTATTAAACCATAAAACAAATTTCCCTTTACATAGAAATATCATATTCTCCCATGTGTGTTTTCAGGATGTAAAAATGGTTGCTATAAAAAGTTGATGTAAAAATGTCCAGAAAGAATCGGTTCGAATTATATTGGGGGGCATAAGTGATTTCTTGGGTTTATTGGCATCTAAAAAAACATAACTATCTCTACAGTGGCGATTGAAGAAAAAAAGGGGGGAAGGAAATTGTGATGGACGAAAAATTCTTTACCACCTAAAACTGGTCAACTGTATTGCTGACAAAGAAAATCATCGATCATTATTCGAGGTTCAGACTTGGTGCGTGAAGGTGCAGTTGCCCCTCGCTCCCTATTTTTTGACTTCCAGTCGAGGCGAAGGCGCTGCTCATTGTTCACATCCCCTGCTTAAAATAATCTAATGACTCTACCACTTCAAGTGCAGGCAAAAGAATGCCTGAACGTGCGCATTTCGTTCTTTCTTTTTAAGTTGCCTCGCACGGCGCACGCTGACTCCTGGCGTTTTGCGGGCTCTGTGGTACCCAGTGATGGCTGGTGCTGATATTTGCATATGAATCATTTTTCTTCTGATCTGGCATTACATTGAACTGATCGGGGGAAAAAAAATTTAAATTTCAGGTTTTATGTTTAACCAGTTGACTGTGGCGCTCTCGTTTAAGAGTGCACACAGTTTGGTTCGCCAGAATGGAGCCATGACGAGTATATTCGTCAATCACAGAGTAAGTTGCGCTGGTAAGATATTGGATGAAAAAGATGGGTTGTGGAGTGATATTCAGCGAAACAGGGTACTATACACAATGGGACTTTGCAAATCGAACACCACTAACGCGATTCCTTCCTGATCTTAAGTTTGTAGCAAAGCGAACACCTTCGCATAGGGTTTTTTTTTTCCCGATGTTCCGGGTAAATAATCCGGAACATGATTCCCGCCTAATTGGCTTGTGTTAGGTCTAAATGGCCGAGTTTGTGTCGATTGATTTCTTTTGATTGGATATGTCGCAAAAAAATTTGAGCAAAAGATTGATACGCGATAATGTTCTATTACTTTTTTTTATAAAATATGAATGCGCATTCAGACACATTTCAGTCTAAGAAATGGAGAAATATCTTTTTGTAGTAATTTTGAGTCGTTTTCTTGCTGTGGAATATGCTATGATAATTCCATCCGTCCTCCTATCCACTCCACCCATTTTTTTTATTATAATCAGTCACTAGCTCCGGTTTCTTTTTTATTATTTTTCTTTTCTCTGTTTCTATTATGCTGTCATTTTGTAAAGTACTTACGAAATAAGCCTCGCCTCTTCTTTCCATTTCATTATACGCATGACGAGTATACTCGTCGATACACAAAATCGTGCCGCTTCTCCATGACGAGTATATCCGTCAATCACAGTTAACTGGTTAAGAATGAATTTCTTGCTTACGTTTTGCACAATAGTGTATACATGTAATGTTGCAGCAGTTCAAAATTCAAACAGTTAATCAGTTTAATGACTATGACTCATCTCTTTCCTGTTCTTCGTTTGTACATGCATATTGCAGCTAACTACATCAAACGTTTTATAATATAATTCCTAAAGTTTCTACCTTCTCATGACTTCAAACTTCTGGTGTTAGTGATTAAATATGTAAGAATTATTATACAATAATATTAAAAGGCATTTGTTTTCTTTCCAGATGAATGAGGAGCCACATGAGGTTATCCAGTTTCAATACAAAGCTTGGTCTTCCGAAATGAAACCGGCCTCTATGCTTAAACTCCTTCGCAACACCGATTTGTGGTATCATAAATCCGCCGGCGGACCGATTACTGTTCATTGCATGTAAGTACTCTTATCATGCGTAATTTCCAACTTTCTCTAATTCACCTAACTATAACCAGGATTATCAAATGGTTTTTCAGAATTGTCAGTTTTGAAGCATTTAAAACTCTTCACAGGAATACATACGAATCGTTCATTACTTGATTCTTGTTTGACTATGGGCTTCCCGATAGATGGGAGGTGAAATTGCAAATCCGAAGCCGGATTATCTTGGTACGCTGTGCTTTGTGTGAAACGGGTAGTGTATTAAAATAAATATTGCTCCGTGTATTGAAGAGACGTAGATGTTAACAGGCAATTAATCGATTCTAATAAATTAATTGATTTAAAATAGAATTTTGAGCGCCCAACCGGTATGCATATAAGCATTTTCTACCTCGCCATGCGCATAAGGGAAAAATCCGTACTTATGATTAAACTTATTTTTCTTTCAAACGAAACATTTCCTGTTTCATAGAAAAGTTAAATTGTAAAATCTTTCTTTTAATGTCAGATGCTGTTAATATCAGAAGCAATCTTAAGCGCTTAGATCAGCGGTGCCCAACCTTGTGCTCGCCGATCGTTTTGTATGTGCTCGCCAGCCAGATAAGGTACTATGGACAAAAAATATTTTAAAAATAACCATTCATTTATATTTCTTAATTGCTAAAATGTCGTAATCATTTATAGTCATAAGAGATATCTTGCAAGACGATATAAAATAATTGATTGCTGATTGATAACTTGATAGCGAGAATGGAATCTTATTGCTTCATTCCGATGTTAGATGGCTCAGCAGGAGAAAAGAACTTCAATGTTTCGTAGAACGTCTTTCGCCAGTAAAGCAGATTTTGGAATCCGGAAACGAAAGTTATAAAGAATTGGACGATAATAATTAGTTATCCGATCTGTATTTTCTCACGGATATAACAGCTAAACTTGAACAAACTGAACGAAGATCTCCAGGGAAAAGAAAGAAAAAAACCTTTTTTAAGTTGACTGGGACTGTAACTGCTTTTCAGATAAATTTAAATTTGTGGACAAATCAGATGAAAGAAAAAAATTTCACCCACTTTCAGAATATATCAAGCCATATTAATAACCACAAGGCAATTGAAATACTCGCAAAATCTAAAAATGCACGGAAAAATAATTTTGAACTCCGCTTCTCTGATTTCCATAAAGTTTAACCATTATTATTATTCATCTCATACCCATTCGCCGAAATTAATTTTTCAGATGTATCACATAAGATTGGAAATACCCGATGAATGGGAGGTTGTAAATATATAAACGAAAATGTTGATGTTTTCGAAATGTATGTACTCGCGATAGGCAAAAATGTGCTCACGATAGGCCAAAGGTTGGGCACCACGGGCTTAGATTATGTAAATAGATGAGTCCATGAATTAAGTGCAAATACCGAAACTCGACGCTCCCGATCCAACTGTAAAGTCATTGTGTGGCTAGTAGAATATTATTATTATTGTTTGTTGCAATCTGTTGCTTTCTCATTGCGTTCAGTACTGTCGCTGAATTTAATACGCGTGCATACGAAAAGACACTTCCTTCTCTGACAAACACTATTTTTTGCAAAGGCGCAAAAGATGTTATATATTTAAAAAAGGGAAATATTCATAAAGTAATATTTTTCAATTCAATTTAAAATACGTATCTTTACTTCTCTGTTCCAAATCTGTATTAGTCTAACTTCAAAAATGCATTTTACTTTTTAAGACTGATTATAAGTTTTGTGAAGTTATTGTGTGCAATGTTAGCTCCTCGAGTCGTTGTTGATGTTTCCGAAAATTGACTTGTCTTATGCTTTCGCTCGCAGATTGCATCAGCAGAGAATGGATATATAATGAATTAATAATCACAACAACTTTAATGTGAAGGGTTTTAAATTACGAATAAATTTATTAAAATTGCTGCACTTGATATTAATACAGATTAACGGAGTTAGCACCAGAAGGCATAATACATATTCTCTCTAGGAAACAAAATGAACATATATTTATATTAAACTCACCACAATACTGTGCTGTAATGTTGTGTAAGTGCAGTCTCATAGCAACAAAAATACAACGCACGTAATCATATTTTCGGTACTGCTGTCAAAATGTGAAGAAACGGTACGGACGTGTACCCTCGAGCCCAAGCAAAGTCAAGACGTTTTCAAGCGTTGAGGAATTTGTGTCATCATAAGCCATATGCAAGATTTTTTCCTACGTGCGTGGCGCGGTACAGAATGCTTATATGCAACCGGCATAGTAGTTAGCGTCGTTGACTGCTGCCCCAAACGTTCGGGGCTCGTAAAAAAGGAATTAAGCAAACAACAAAGGAAAAAAAAAAGTTTTTCAAGAAAGAAATACAACAATTTTACTTATAATTCTACTAAAATTACCTATCTAAGTACAAAATTCGTAACAATATTTTTTTAACTAACAAGCCTAAATTTCAAATTTTGAAAGTGCCGTTATTTTGATATTGTCGATTACGAGATACTTGATTGTACTATGATGCAGCAAGAAACTTAGTCAAATCTAGGTCTGCTCAAATCAAATTTCTTATGCCATTTATTTTATTTTCCTTTTCTTTTATTTATTTATTGTTAGCCCAAAAGAGCGTTAGACCAAATGAGTCTTGAAACGGCTTTTTGCGTTGATTCACTATAACCGACTGTATCACTTTTCAAATTGTTGTCACCAAATACTCTCGCCCTCTAATATATTTAAAGGAATTAAATAATGAAGGATCTGTATCAATGTCCGAATGTTTCTCGCATTGTGAAGAAACGAAGATACCTGGAGCCATCCAATTTTGAATACCATAGTCCTCCATCCGAATATGGGAAACCTCGAAGCCCGAAACTTGAATTTGGAATTTATTTTATTATCTATTTCCTATTTTTTAAATCTTTAACGAAATTTTGATTAAGAAACTCAACGGTTTCAAAGCGAGCAGCGTCAATACATTGTGCGGAATAACATATTTTTGTCTGCAGCGCGCGAGACTGTCTATCGGGAATATGCTGATATGCTAAAGATATGCTGTTTTTAAATATTGCTAGCCCCAATTCTCTCGAAACGTGCATGTATGTGAAAATTAAAGAAAAAAAAGCTCCCTTGGGTATAATATAAAAATCTAAAAACTTTCAGATTTTTACCCCAAAAGGTGTTAGGCCAGAAGGGTTATTAATGTTATTTTGACATTTTGCGTTGAAAAACTTTATAAGTTCACTTTCCAAACTGTTGCCACCAAGTATTGTATGCCTGTATTATATTTAAAGAAATTAAATAATGAAGAATCTGCATAAATGTATGTATGTTTCTCGCGTTGTGATAAAACAACGGTACCTAGAGCTATCCAATTTTGATAACGGACGCTTCTACCGAAATATGGGCATCTTGAAGCCGAATTTAGAATTTGTTTTATTATCTGTTTCATATTTTGTAGAACTTTAACGAATTTTTGATTACCACACTCAACGATTTCAAAGCGAGCAACGGCAACACTCTACGGGGGGGGGGGAAGAAACATTTTTATTTCCAGCCCGCGAGACTCTGTATCGGAACTTCTAAATGTATGCTTACTTGAAAATTATTTTGCGATATTGTTATTGAATTGAATTTTATGGTTTAAGTGTCAAGAAAATGATATTTAATAAATAAAGGTAACCCACAAAATTAAAAAAAAAGGCCGTTTGGGAAAAGAATCGGAAAGCTCTCAGATATTTAAAAAATTTACTTATTATTTATTGATAATTGTTTCCTCATTTGCGATACTATTACAAAATTTTATTTTGTAATAGTATCGCAAATGTTATAACTTACTTCTGTTAGCCTCGTGGGTTATTTTGTGAAACTCAAGGATTTGAAATTAAAGTTTAAAAAAATAGCTTATTGGAAATATTTAATTTTCGCTCTTTTATACCATACAAATTAACTTATCAAATGTTATCAAATCAAAATACTCCCAAACGGTATGCTCTCCATTTCTGACAAAGAACGATTTTATTTTTCAGGGATGGAGCGACCAGGAGTGGGTTGTTCATAGCGGCCTGTTTCATCAGAGACCAAATTAATTCAGAGGAAGTTTTGGATACTTTTCAAGTCGTCAAAAGCATTCGCTTGAACAGACCGGAATTTATTCCAAACTCAGTAAGTGCTATTTAATTTCTTTTCTTTTTTAACCCTTTGACTACTAACAAGACATCTTTGTCCCTATAGAAGTTTAAAAAATCCGATGTGTACACCACATAACTTCCTTGTACGGAATATTAAATTATACGCATTTTTTCTTGCCTTTCATTTAAACTTATTGGATTGTATTAAATCTACTTCGTCGATAGCGCATAAACCATATGATGTTATCGAAGTTTGCCGGTTGCCATATCGTTGCACTTCTCTAACGCTTTTTTGAGCGAAAACAGATAGCTGTGTACTTCGGGAGGAAACTAGTGGAAAAACATTACAGAAAGACTGGAATAAGAAAGTAAGTGTTTTATCTTTTCATGTAGCACATAATCCTTATTTAATAATTAAAATTCGTGTTTTAAATTACTAAAGTATATTTCCTTTTCAGATGTTAATAATGTTTGCCAGCTTGCAATAAATATCGATAATTTGGAAATCTTTTTTTAAAAAAAATGTCGCGAAAACTACGAACTTGCACCCTTGATAGTAACTTTCTCAAAAAAATCGCAAAATTGCGCCAAGATGACTTCGTTAATACGTAAGTACCATAAAATTGTATTTTGACTTAACTCATATATATCTAACAATAACATCTGAACAAAATGCACGAATTTTATCGCGGTGAGAGCCGCAGGATTGCATCTTTTGTTGGCTTGACCCATAGGCACCAGAAATGTGTTTTTCGTTCTTGAACTAGGCCCACCAGCGGCCGAGCGGTAAAGTCGCTGAACACTGGTAGTTCGGTTTTGATGTTCGAATCCCGCGAACGGGCTGGCTGCATGGGCGTTTTTCGTGTTTTTTCTCCATTTTTAATGTGTATATGAGCCAGTTTTCTTAGAAAGTCCTCCACGAAGGCATCCCTCCTCTTGGGCAGATAGCCCTCGAGGCTTTGCCATAATCACACACACACACACACATTCGTTCTTGAACTTATTCAAAGACTCGATTCACTATTCCGAATGAGCGCATGCTGATTTATCAAAAAAACAGCGGTAGCTCATTTAGAGCTCATATATCGGAAGCTCTTGTTTGAAGCGTGCCAAGAAAGCTCGATTGTCGTTTCAGGAGAGAATGTTTATTCTCACATGTTGAAAATGAGTTTAATTTTTTATCATTTCCTAACTTTTAGAATATTCTTTTGTTCTAGAATTTTGTTGTTAGAAATACAGAAATTAAAATTTAGAGAATGTCAAAATACAGTTAAAAAAAAACAGTACTCGGAATCAGCAATTCGATTAAATGAGTTCTTCCAATTCACTACTCGTTTGGTTCTCTCTGCTCTTCGTCGAATTCTCATACTCTGATCCTGATTCATTCCCCATTGCCGAGCTTTATTCATCACGGTTATTATTAATGAGACGTGAGTCATAAACAACCGACTCATTTCGGTAAGCCAAAGTTTCGGATCTAATTCCATAAAAGAGCGGTTTCGCCCACATTTATTCGGCACGATATAGATAACTATGTAATTTTGTGCGGTTAAATTCCGGTTCTGATGGAGATTCTCCCGAAGGATCGGTTAAGTTAGGATTAACGGGTCTCTATCTAAAACAATTAAGCTTGTTTATTGCAGAACGGTGAAAAAATTATTACTTACGTATTAATGCAACAACCTTGGCGCAATCTGGCAATTTTTTACCAGTTAAGAAGTATAAGCTACTTATTGGTGGCTTTTGCGTATTCTCTTGTTTTTACTATCGATATTTATAGTTGGTCAAAATTATCAACACATATAAAGAAAACATATTTTAGCAATTTAAAATGCAAAATTTTACTCTTGAATATGTTGTATTAAAAAGAATACACAGTCTTATTGAAATCTTTCTGTAATTTTTTGTGCGCTGTTTTTTCCCCGAGGTACACAGCGATCATTTTTTGCTTAAACTTGCTTAAACCCACAGCAGGGAATTCCGAAGACTCGGCTTTATGCAAAACGCGACAACAGCGGCTGTCTGGAAAACTGATTTCCTCTTTGTTCCCTTTAGAAAAGTTTCATCGAAATTCTGTATTCCTGCAGAAAGTTCACTGCTGTTTCTTCCATTGTTGGAAAATTCCTTAAATTCGTATTTTAAAGCTAAGGCAAAAATATGTCACAGTTTGTTTAAAAACACTGCTGGAACTTGGAATAGAACAAAAGAGAACGCATACGAAAATGGCGGCGTTGCTTAACTAAAGGATTGTTATGAGCATGGTTGCCAGAGTTTGGCACATTTTTGAAATTTTGGTAACTTCTACTAAAATGGTTGTGTGACTACGTAAGTATAGAAAAATTAATATAAAAAGCAATTTTGAGCATCCAATTTTGCATCTAATCCAAAAGCATCCAAGTTTGAATAACGTAGATGGGCATCTGGAAGCCCAAATTCGAAATTCAGAATTTGTTATATTAGCTATTTCATATTTTGTCAAACATTAAAGGAATTTTTGATTAACAAACTCGACGATTTCAAAGCCAGCAATGGCAACACTGTACGAAAAGAAAAACATTTTTATCTCCAGCGCGCGAGACTGTGTATCAGAAATTCCAAAGATATGCTGCTTTTAAATATTTTGTACTATTGCTGTTGAATTGAATTTTATGGTTTAAATGCGAAGAACAAGATATTTAATAAATAAAGAAAACACACAAAACGTTGAAAAATCCCTTTTGGGCGTTATATAAAATCTGATAGCTTTCAGACACTTTTTTTTTTTTTTTTTTCTTCATATTTATTTTTCCTATGTCAGTATTTTTATGAGCAAAATTCCTACTTAATTTCTTTATTTTCCGCAGGATCAGTATCGATTTTTGTTCGAAGTTGCACAAGAGTTAGCAGATCCGGTCATTCATCGGTACGAGGAGCTGAATCAACCGTCAAAGAAACTCTCTTTCAAGATCTGAACTCGTAGTGTATAGTGAACGCTTATGTTATTTAGTATTTTACTACCGGTGGGCAAAGTGATGCTACTATTGATTTCTGCAAAAACGCAGGTGTATTGTAAAAATGATTTTCTAAGTAACTGGGAATATATTTTGACAATGTTTTTCTTTGTATACCTATGCATATTTTCTACGTCTGCAAATTCTGATAATTATTAAAATAAATGAAGGTGCACTAAATATTTAACTAAACTATTTATCTTTGAACTCCTATGTCACAGTCTTTAGAAAATGCACAAGCGCATACTTTCTCGCTCTGAAATCGCAAGTCACAATTTCCTGTTTTTAGAATCTGTACAGGCATATTCTTTGACTAAAGAAAATTTTAGTTTGTAATGATAAATTTAGGTGAAAGTGCATTTAGTCTAGGATGATAAAACGAAACGTTAAATACTTATTTGACGAACCACAATTTATAATCAGTTTTCAGAAAAATAGATTTATTTGTTTTACTTCTCTTTTCTCCTGACGGTAGATTGTAATCTATTTATGACTTACAAAAATTTATTAGGCTAATCTTTGGAATATGGTAACAGGTAGTTTGGCGACATTTTGGTAAGGCGATAAAGGTTACTAGCTAGGACTTTAGCAGTGTACATGGATAAAGTGAAGAGTGTGCGCAATGCCATTTTTGTGCAATTCTGGGATGTTTTTTTAAGTCAAAATAGGTCGACGTGTACATGGACGATAACGTGTATGTGCAATTCTTAAAAATGCGGCAAGCAGTGGGCGATTCTGCACTTTCTCCGAATTCGCGCCTAATCTTCGTCATGATTAAGCACATTTGTTCCATAAAAGTTCTAGCATAAGCGTAATTCGGCTAGGAAATTGTTGGAAAAAAATGTTGAGTTTTTCGTGAAAACAAAATGACGTCCAAACAAAAACTAGCAGTTTGCTGTAGCAGGCTTTGTCGCCAAATTTTCGCCAAAAAATCGCCAAGTTACCATAATCCAAAGATTAACCATTTATTTATTTATTTATTTATTTTTGGTTGATTTTATAATTCTTTTAAAGGAAGATATTTTTATTAGAAGAAAAAATTCCAAGAATTATTTGAAGCAAATGATAAAATATGCTTTATTGAAATTGCTCTGAAAAAAAAGAAAATTTCTACTATCTATATGATCACTTTCAAAATTTAGGATATCAGATTTGATTATAGTGGTATTTACATTTTTTTCTAACATATATCGTGAAATTAATTAATATGGGTTATTGATCAATACTTCGTAAAATTTTAACATAAAATGTTTAATACGAAATTCTACTTCAAATTTTAAAATAATTTCCAAACTCCAGCAAAATTTTCATAAATATTACTTGTCTTTGCAATGAAAATAATTAATACAAATAATCCAAACTAAAAAATCACGATTTTGTAAAAATTAAATGTCTTAAAAATGTTTAAGTAATCCTTTAATTAACAACATAAGCAGTAGATAGTTTTATCTTTTTTATGGTAGAGGGATGGGAACAGTACTTATGATATTTAGAACACTTTCATGTAAATAATTATTTGAGTGAACAAGTGAAACGGTTTATAAAAAGTTCAGTTTTAAAAATCAACTATTTTGTATGTTAGTAGATGCATAGTTAAGTTTTACCTTAACACAACAAAATGTTTTTATTTCAATGATTTATGTTTTCCCTCCTTTCTGCATGCCTTCGTGGTGTAACGGTGAGCACACTCGGCGCGTATTCGAGAGGTGCAGGTTCGAGTCCCGGCGAGGCATTGCTCATTTTTCACGTTTCTTGCTTCAAAAATCCTAATGATCCTACAGATTAAAAATTGCATTTTTATTTTTGGTGACTCTTTTTTTAAACGGCCCCATCCTCCCATTTTAAAAAATCAGATCATTTCTATGAAGCCTTTCGTAGGAATGAGAGAAAACAAAGTGAGAAAATGAGAGAAAGAGAAAATGAGAGAAAACGAAGAAATAGTTATTAATTCTCCCACGTGAAAAAAGTTTTAACTTTATAATATTGAAAGATAAAATAAAACCCAGTCTTTATAAGTTGAAGTAAGGTTGCACAATATAGTTTTCCTTCCCTTGCAAGACAGGGAGGTCACCAATTGCCGAGCGGTAAAGTCGCTGAACACTGGTAGTTCGGTCCGAGGTTCGAAGCCCGCGAACGGGCTGGCAGCATGGGCGTTTCCGTGGTTTTCCCAATGTGTAACATGTATACGAGCCAGTTTCCCTTAGCAAGTCTTACGAAATCCCTCCCCCTTTAGGCATATAGCCCTGGAGACTTTGCATAACTTAATAAGCCAACCCTTTCAAAACCAGGAATACAACAAGCATGCTAGAAGATTTGAATGATATCATATCTACAACCTATTCTCAATAGAATCTCGAATAAAACATTTCTGGGGAGTTTCGCTTTCGCGATGTCTGACTGGTTGACCGGTTGCTTGAAAGAACCTACGAGGACCACAGCATCAAGTGCAAATTTTCATCTAAGATATAAAATTGTTCCACGTAGCTAGCCGAGACATACGTTCCAACGAATTCCTCTAGGTTTCTAGGGGATCTGCAGTTGCTTTATTTTTTATTACGATATTTTCTACCACCACGTTTGAAACTGCGAACGTTACTGACCACGTTACTGCGAAATTTTCCATCCATTTTGTTTTCTGCGACGATGATTTCTCCTTACTTTCTGTTTTTCTGCAATGTGCTGTTCGCTGATATTTTCCTTTGCTTTGTTTGATCCGAGAAGTGTTCTCTTGCGATGTTCCCGCGGACATCCCTTTAAAGAAGGTGAGCTATAATGAAAGATATTCGCTGACCGCCGCCCAGACGGTACAGTAGTTAGGAGAGTCTGACTGCGATACCGAAGGGCCTGGGTTCGAATCTCAGAGAAGGCATGGATGTAAAAATTGTTTGTCCCTTTATAGGAGGCAAGGGTGGCACACCTGTTAAGTACCTCCATAATTTAAAAAGACCACCACATTCGGCCTTAGGAGTGGCCGATGCCAGTATAGGTAAGTGCCGGCCATTTGGGAGGAGGAAAAAAAAAAGAGAGATTCGTCGACCAGCGTCCTAAGCCGAAGAAGACTTGCCATTGGAGCACTCGTTCGGGTCGATGGAGAATGACGTCAGAGAAATCGCCAAGAAATTTTAACTATTATTGGTAGTGTGCAAACATTAGTTAAAGATCGTCTTATAATTTTCATCAAGGTGAAACAAATGTGGGTCCTTCGTTCTCTGATGCTTGGGCACGAAGAGAGAAGATTAGTTACAGTACCACAAAATCCGCAACTTTATTGAAAGCATGCGGACAAGATTTTAGACCCATTAGGTAACCTATGATGAAATGCGAATAGACGTTTTTACTCCAAAACCAACACGAATAAGCATGAAGTGGTGAAACTGATATCTAACATGTGCAGGTCATTAACGCTGCCTCCGAGTGGGTCAGCATGCAGTTTGAAAGGACTTCTATTCTTCTGGAATTTACAAAACTTTCGAATAAGTGTGTTGCAGTGGATGGTCATTAAATAGAAAAACACTACATATATTGCTTCATAGCATTTAGTTCAACTGAAATTCCTATTTGTATATGAACGTACTCTTGTAAGAGACTGTATTGTGAAAAAGACAGCAAAAAAATAGTATGTTAATTATATCATCGTTTGAGAGCTTCAGGTCACTGCGTATAAAATTTCAGCATCCGTGCAACCCAGTGGTGAGATTTTTTAAACTGTAACTGTATTTTTTTTCCCCAATCTCTACAGGGTAGGACGTTTTGCCTTTCCCTGTCTTCCCTTGCAAACAAGAAGGGCACTGCGCATGGCTGTCACGGCTTTTTTCGTTTGATGCACTGAAAAAAAGAGCTTCCACCAACAATTGAGTGGTGAAGTCGCCGGACACTGGTAGTTCGCTCCGAGGTTCGAATCTCGCGAACGGGCTGCTGCACGGGCGTTTTCGTGGTTTTGCCCATGTGTAGCGTGTATACGAGTCAGTTTCCTTTCAAAAGTCCTCAACGAAGGCACCCCTCCTCTTAGATAAATAGCCCTCGAGGTTTTGCTGTAATCACCTAAACGAAAGCACTAAAAAAAAGATTTTTTTGGCTAGCGGTTTAAAGTATTTACCCATATCTGGTTTAACCCCTTAGCGAGATTTACCTGTCGGAATATGAAATATGATGAATAAATTTGAAATATGATGGCACATTTTATAGCTTTTAATTAAGACATTATTTTCCTGTGTAGTAGAGGCCTTAGGGGATCGGAAACACTGCTATACTTGTTCATAATGCACTCTCTCTATATTTTTTTCAATCATGGTTTTAACATTTCCTCAACATACTGAAAAAAAGACACCTATGAAAAAGATAATCTACTAAGTACACCTACCAAGGTGTAAACGCCTTCTGAAAAAGATACCTTTCATAAACACAAAATGCGCAGTTACAACTTTTCTAAGCCTGACCATTTCTTCTACGTTATAAATTTACTTAAATATCAGTGCACAGTTTTTTTCCAGTTGTTTTTTTTAATATCTTTTACTCACTTTCAAAGAGAGATTGTGATTTGTGAGAATCATTTGATTATTTATTGAATATTATTTGTTTGTAACCTTATCAATTACTTTTCAAATAAAGCTTTATGAAACGCATGCCTCATTTTTTTTCCTTATATGGTGTATGTTTTAAAAACTTACCTTATTCCTTGTACCTTTACATGCTCGGAAATTAAAATAGCTGTGTATTAGTTTCGTGTATAATCTTAAGAGATTATTATTATCTTATTATTAAGATCTTAATCTATTATTAAGATTATTAAGATCTTAAGAGATTATCTAAGAAATCCTTAGTATAAATTAGGTACCATAATTAAAAGATATAAACATGTGCAGGCATACAGTACGAAATTTGTGTATGAAAAAATGGCACAGCATAAATACAAATTACATAATATCACTCATATGAGTGTTGTATTAATTTAAGATACAAATTTATTTTCAACAAGAATACTTTTCTGGTACACTCGGTGCTACACAACATGTATTAAAATGAACAACAAGTATTAAATGAAACAACAAGTATTACAATGAAAGGGGAAGAAGGTATTAAACTTGTAAAGGAGATTCACTGATTCTTGATTTTCTATGAAATTTTAAAGAAAAGTTAGATAGTTTTTCTGAATTACTATCAGAGCTTAAAGTTTTTGTTTCAAAAGCTGAATATGTGGAAGGTATGTGCATACGTTTTCTCAGCACACTGACCGAAAATTAAATTGGAGCAGAATTTGATGCTACTGAATTCGAGAAAAGGAATTTTTCAGAAGCTACAAAACGTAAGTGCTCGAGGTTTGATTTTGAATGAGTCTGTTAATGAGAATGCATGCAAATAAGCATTTAAACTTCCAAAGTTGATATTACGAAAATTTCATGGGGAAATTAAAGAATGTTTTGAGAGAGGATTTTTATGTGCAAGTTTATGTGAGAGGATTATGTGAGAAATGCAAATTCCAGTAATTCCTCTAATAACTTATGTGCATAGTATGATAATCTGAAACAACAAGTTTGGGTTCTGGTAAACCTTAGCATCACTACAGATAAAAATGCTGTACTTTGTTCAGGGCTCAATATTTAAAATTAGAAGTGCTGGA